ATACCACTTCCTTTTGCTTTGATTTGCCTTGTCTTTTTGTTCAGGTGTCATTCTTATGGCAAAACCTTTATCAACAACGTCCGCCATGAACTCTTTGTCCTCCTTGTAGAATTTGCTGTTTTGTTGGAATTTTCTTTTTAGGTTCAAAGCTCTTTGTTCAGCAACACGTCTATAATTGGGAAAATCAAGTCCTTCTTCCTTTAATGGCAGCCCAATACTGCAGTGTCCGTCTACCAACTTGACAGAATTAGAGACACTTTCCATGAACTTGTGATCCTCTATTGACATTTTCTTTGTGTTGATGTTCTGGAAAGTCAAGCTTCACTTGCTGCTTCAACAATTCCTCGATTTCTATAACAGAAATTCTGTTTGCTGTAACGACTGGCTTAATCCTTCCTAGAGGTCCATTTATTGTCCAACCTAAAATGGTCTTAACGGCATATTTCAAGGTCACATACAACAGATGTTTTAGCTGACTCCTCTCTATTCATTGTTCGTAGGAGTATCTCCGTGTTGCGTCCAGTCACTTGAAGCTGCTGTAGAATGGACTCTGTGCAAAAGGTAGCCGTACTACCTGGGTCCAGAAAGGCGTATGTTGTTATGATGTTATTACCCTTTTTTGTTTTCAACTTCACAGGAACGATAGCCATGGTGCCTTCAGGCTCACCGGGCCCAATATCCTCCTCCCGTGAATCATCTTTATCCATATCCACTAAAGCATTTGCAACAGTCTTTACCTTTCCTTTGCTTGACTCTATATTACTGAAATGCAAAAGAGTGGGGTGTGTGAGATTGCACTCAAATCAAATCAAGTTTTATTTATAAAGTACATTTAAAAGCGATTTTTGGTCGAGCCAAAGTGCTGTACATGTAATAAAAACACATTACTACAATCACAATAAAAGACAATAAATTACAACAGATATATATAAAAAACACAATGAAAAGTCAGGAGTCGTGCTCCGCTCTAACTAGAAGGCCAGAGAGAAGAAGTGTGTTTTTAGTGTAGATTTAAAAACCCTTAGGGTCTGGGCCGACCTCACATGGAGGGGCAGAGTGTTCCAGAGCCTAGGGCCAGCTGCTGCGAAGGCTCGGTGCCCTCGGGTTTTAAGCCTGGTCTTGGGCACTACCAGCAGCAGCTGGTCAGCAGACCTTAAAGCTCTGGCTGGGGTGTAGCGATGGAGGAGTTCAGCTATATAGGCCGGAGCCAGCCCATTTAGTGCTTTAAAAACAAATAAAAGTAAAGGATGCAAACAAAGACATACCTGCAAATGTCTTTGCTTGCATCCTTTACTCATGTGGCCCTTTTCCAAACATCCAAAGCAAAGTCCTTTGCCTTTGAGGAATTCCAACTTCTCTTTGTGGGTGTTTTTGAGAATCTGATTGCAAGCAGAAAGATTATGTTCTCCTTTACAGTAGATGCATCGGTTTGATTGGGATGTGTCACTGTGTCGGTTACTGTTTTCTTTCTGAGGTATTGGGGATACACTAGTGGCGAAACCACTTTTACTCTGTATGAACCTTGTGCTGGGAGTAGCAGGAACGAATGTGTAGCTTGTCTTTGCTGATGTATTTGGAATTTCCTTTAAGTTTCCGAACACTGGATGAGAAAGGATTCTAGCATGATGGTTGACAAACTTCACTAGATCTTTAAACTTAACTCTTCTGATGTTTCTATCTTGTATATCGCAAGCTTTAGCCCTCGCATGTTGATTGGGTGATCCATTTCCTCCATGTATTCCACACTATCCATTGTATTGAGACATCCATTAAGAAACACGGCAAAGGTTTTTAAAGATTGTGGATCCTCAGGTTTAATAGATGGCCAATTGAGAGCCTTGTCGATGTAGGCTGTCGCGATAAGATATTCATCTCCATAATGATGCTTCAACAACCTTTTCGCTTCCGTGTATCCTTTGTCAGATTGCATATATTGGCAACTGCGCACAACCTCTCTTGGTTGGCCAATAGTGCATTGCTCCAAAAAGTAAAGCCTGTCCTTACTGATTTCTGTTTTCTCTTCAATACCATGCTCAAATGCTCTTATGAAGGACCGATAATCCAAAGGGTTTCCGTTGAAGGTAGGAATGTTGAGTGGGGGTAATGAAGTTTCTGTTGCTTTACCATTGTTTCTGTTATTGCGGTGTGTTTTTCCATGATGCTTATTAAGCTGTTCATATTGCCCTCTCCCGTGCTAGAAGACGTGCTGGATGAAGTTGAACTTTCGGGACGTTGTGGTATGAATTGTGTTTCACTATTAACGGCATTTGCAGTTTTATTGATGTTTGGTCTATGCTTGTTGGCATTCAAATGAGCATTTTCTTGCTCTAATGCTGTACTCACAAACAGTGAGTTATCCCAATATTCATTCATTCTGTCTCCTGCTTTGTACGTGCCTGCATGAGAATCCTCCATTCCTTTGATTATACTTAATTTTGCAGTGTTTGCTGCAATATCTGTTTCAAGTTCCAGCTGTTCCTTTCTTGCCTTCAAAACAGCTTCCTCCCTTTCCAGTGCTTGCTTCTGAGTCAGCCTTGCAGCTCGTGCTAACAATTCTGCATTTCGACTTTCCAATTTTATTTTAGCAGATGTGATAGAAGACCGAGAGGATTTCCTTGAACTTTGTGAATGAACACTCTTTACGTTTGAAATACTGTCCTGAGGTGCAGGACATATGTCCTTTTATTTTTGTCTGGACCATATTGGACACAGGAGCATCAGCGGTCCAGTTTAAGACCTCCTGAGTAAACTCTTCCAAGGCAGCTGCTTTGGGGTTGTACCATTCGTCCTGATCCATTTCCACCTCTTTCTCCTCCTCAGTGGACATTAAAGCTCGAACAAAATCGTTTAACTCTTCCATTTCCTTGCGTAGTTGTGTAAACTCGCTTTCCATTTTCGACTTAACCAGTTCCACATTGCAGACATTTTCCATTAATTGTCTGATTTCGTTTCTTTTCCTTGTCAATGCACCCAATTTTGCACTCCTTGATGATTTCAGTCGTTTGAGCCTTTCCATATACACATAGTCAATGTCGCTTTCCAAGTCTGCCATTTTTGTTCAAGACGACACATTTATTCCTTTTGATTTTTACTTCATTGTTTATGGACTTTCATTGTCTTGCATTGATTTCCATTGCGTTTTGTACTGTTTTCCGCGAGTTTTCAGGAAGTAGAAGCCGTAGTAAAACGAAGGAGAGTGTTTGACACACTGTTATGAGTTCTGAGTCCTTGTTTTCAAAACAAACATTTCCACGGACCAGTGCTCATCAAGTTGGGTTTTTTATCGTCTAAAAGAGCAATCTTTTCCCACTTTCTTAAGATCTTTTCTGTTCTTTGGTTTTAGCGCCTGGCCGACGCGCTCACACATCACTCAGATATATATTGTTTGTTTTTGGTAGATTTATTTCCATGTTATCGTTTCCATTTCTTCACTGTTCATTCTCTTCTTTAAACACAAATTTAAGGTATCTTACCAGACGATGTTGAAACAGTTTCGTCACTTAAATAAACAAATCGTAACTTCTCTGCAGTGCAGCGGTCAAAAAACGTGTGGCTTCACAACCAAAATAGAACCCAGAGTATAATCAGCAGAGGCAATCGCAGCACCAATCAGCCGCTCCGCCCAACCGTGGCTGCGGATCACGATCAACTGACACCAATCAATTATACTCCATTACATACATTAAATTATTAAATAATCAAAATAATAAATCAACGTTTTGGCATCGTCCAACAAAATTAATTATCGTGACAGGCCTAGTGGAAGTACATTCCTGGTCTTCCCTCTAACAACTCCTCCCTTGTTTCTGATGAGGTTAACCAGCTTGCTGTGATGCTTGTCCAAGGAAGTCAGGAATCGTTGTTGAAGTGGAACAGTTGTAATCCTCATAAATTTAGCATTAATCTTTTAAAAAACAAAAGAGCACATGCCGATTTTCTTTCATGACATGTTACATCAGCACTGTTTGGTGTATACGATCTAATCTTTGATAAAAGATGCCATCTTGATATAAACATTGTTACTTACCTCATCCATTGTCAACAATGCAGGCCATCTCTCTTTTAACATTTGTGTTTTACGACCGCTGTATTCGTCTGCCTGTATTGTCTGTGTTTTATCTGTTGTAACTTTGTTCATGCTGCCCTTCTTGGCCAGGTCGCTCTTGAAAAAGAGATTTTAATCTCAATGAGACTTTTTACCCGGTTAAATAAAGGATATATATAACTCTTCCACTCCCAATTCCTTTTCCACAATGTCCCGTCTTCAATGTGAAAAAGTCTTGTCCATTTTGTCCTTTATTAAATATACCAGCCTCTCACTTTCCAGTCTTTCTGGGGTCTGTCCAATTGGAATGTCTGGTATGTGCACTGTAAAAATTTTCACTGTGAATTCACAATAAATACTTGGCCAAATTTTGTAAGATTCACAGCAATTTACTGTGATTGTCTTCACAGTAATGTATTGTAATTTCACACTCATGATATTACAATACATTACTGTGAATGTCTTCACAGCAATGTATTGTAATTTCACACTCATGATATTACAATACATTGTTGTAAAGGTAAAACTGTATACTGTAACTTCACAGCTTCAATGACTAAGGAATTACTGTGATATTACAGTATGTTACTGGGGAATTACATCATTTTGTTGTACATGCATTACAACAAGGGCCTGTACTTTTACATTTCTATTGTGAAAGTAATGCAAAAGAGTTGCCGGTCATTTACTGTGAATTTACAATGTGTACTGTGAAAGTAATGCTAAAGAGTTGCCAGTAATTTACTGTGAATTTACAATGTGTACTGTGAAAGTAATGCAAAAGAGTTGCCAGTAATTTACTGTCAATTTACAATGATAGATGTTCATAACTGTACTCCCCAACTCCGGTAATTCCTGGAGGAAGCTCATACAATGGTTTCCTGTCAAATACTGGAGCTGGACTACAAAAATGCACAATTAAAAACAACACCCCAAACGCACAAATTAGGTCAAATCAATGGAAGCCCACTGGCATATTTATTGACAAAATTAAACCTGAATAAACAAACGGGTTGAAAACCTCATGAACAGCGTGGTGAAAAAAGGAACTAATCAATGCACGCACTCAAAAGAAAAAAAGAGGTGCAGGGACGTCAGGATCATGTCAGTTCAAGTAGACCATTCAAAGTCTATCAGCTTCCGGTGAAGGGTGCTCACGTGAGGGTTAATGGAGCTTCGCTTCTTTGCCTTGGAGCCTTTCTCCGGGTTGATGCCCAAGAAGCACCTGTTAATAAGCAAAGATACGTTTAAGTTTTAAATAGACTCATGTATTTCAGGCAGCATTTATCAAGGTGTTCACCTGTGTCTTTTCCCACACCACACCCTGATGAAGACTGTTGCCTGTTGGATCATCCTCTCACAATACAATTATTTTTAGCCTAGCAGAGTGGCTCAGGTACCTCTAACATAAGGTTTACTTACTTACCGAATTTTTAAGCCATACTATAATGTGAATTAAACCATGTCAATTTTTTTAACAAGATAGCCCAGCAACATCAAGTGATGGTGTGATCCCAATTTGCATAGTTGGTTCCAGGCTCAAAGCATTTAATCTACTTTATGGCATCTGTAGAAAGGCATGGACTTAATAACCAGATAGTGAAACACAACTTTGCATGATAAGTCTTACTGATGACATTGATCATGTGTTTGAGTGTTACAATACCTTTGGATGAACTCCAGTGTGCATGATCCAACGGGATACTCGAGGTTGAAGACATAGTAGCTGCTGAATAAAGCAGCTACCCCATGCAAAATAAATGGGTGTGGGCCCATTACGACTTGTCCCTCGATGGATAGCATCCATCCAGAAGGCTTCATTGTGTCACCTGAAATAAACAGATACCCCGTCATGCGTTATTGTCGATAGGTACATTCCTAGAATCAATCAAAACAAAAATAATACTTGAGCTAGAAATGTCAATACCCTACACCAGGGGTGCCCAACCTTTTTTGAACTGAGAGCTACTTTTAAAGTTGCCAGTCTGCCGAGATCTACCAGTCCAAATAGAGGCGTAGCCATTACTGACAGCCTACTACCAGGTAAATACACACTTCTACTTGTATAAAACTGACCTTTGTACGATTAATACTTCATAAAATACTGCAGATCCTTTCTCTTACCTCTTTCTAATCAACACACATACAAGTATTTAACTGAAGTTACACAACAGTGTTGTTGATACAGAGTTGGAGTTTATTCACACGTCACATACTACAGTGGGTAATGTTTTCAAGAAACATTGAACAGTGCTGCCACATATGACACAGGAAAAAAAGAAAAGACTCTGAACCCTTTCTTTGCCATTATATAAAAATAGTGTTGCTACAAAAGTATAAATTAGGCTTACTAATAAGACAACTCGGATCTGAAGCTACACAGGAATCTGCTGCCAAAGTGCAATAAAAAAGACTAAATTAATAGAATCAAACCCTTTTTTTGTTGCATTTTAGTAGAGTATAAAAAGAAATGCCTTTAAAATAGGATGCAAGCAACACTAGTTTCTTAACCTGAATTGATAATAGACTATAATCAATTTAAGTTTGCATTCTTATACCATTTTGTACAATAATTATAATGAATAAGTTCAAACAAACTAAAACTTACAGCTGATTAATAACGGTATCTAACTTGAGTTTTTATTATATCACAAACCTGTTGAAATGCTACTGTTATTTTTACTGTCCCCAAAAAGCACGTCGGCAGCCTCCAGGAATGCTTCTTTGACAACTTCGCCGTCTTTGAAAGACTTCATGTGTTTCGCAAGAACGTGACTGACACGATAAGATGCTATGGCAGCAGCCTTGCTCTTGTTGTTGGGCCTGGTGAAAATGGACTGATGTGCATTTAGCTGTCCTTTCAGGTCCCTCACCTTTTGGGAGCGTAGGGCAGAATTAGGAGGGAATTCCGTCTCGTAGCGTTTGTGCACTGTTTTGAAATGCCACTCCTAAATTACCCTTCTTCGATAAAGCCACGCTCGCATTGCAGATGAGACAGATGGACTTGGAATTGGAATAGATACAAAAATAATCATCCTCCCACTCGGAGTGAAAATTATATATTTTGGGCTTTTTTGCTTCTGCCATAATTGCGGTCTTGTGTGTGTGCGGACTGTCACTGTTGACACGGACAACGTCAGCGAAATAGTGCCCACAGCCCACCAGCCACGCCGGCCAATCACAAAGCTTTGATGCGTTCAAGTGCATTATTCTGGCACAGGAAGATTATGTTATAGGACATTAACGATAAAACTGAATATTGTTGTTCTATTTTTAGACACATCTCGCGATCGACTGGGAATCTCCCCGCGATCGACTGGTTGGGCACCCCTGCCCTACACTGTAAAAGCATCAGAGTCCCTGTGCAGATAGGAGAATTTGGCTGAACGACAAAGCAACTCCCTAGCCCTCCTCCCTCTGCCTTTATGGCTAGACGGTTTAACCTCATTCCTCTATGGGTAGATGGTTACGAGCCCAGATGGAACGAGAACATGTCAACTCGTCAGACCACTGAATCATTGAAACAGGCTGGAAATGTTAACTAAGGCGAATCGCTGAAACATGTGGCGTCAGAGTATCGTAAGTGTCGTTTCACAGACTGGACTTGAATGGAGTGCTTTAGAGTAACCATTCAGTATCCTATACCTAATTGATGGTGGAGCAGAACAGGGATATCCTAAGCGAAATTATATAACAAGAAAAAAAGCAGCAGTGAAGTCTAGCCAATCAGGTCAGAAAAGCAGGAAATCCTGTATAAACAGGAAAAATCACATCCCTGAACATTACATTACCTTGAATGATCAAGCAGGGGGTGCTTGGGAGTGCTGCAGTATTCACTACATCAGCAGCAGTGGCACAGGTCTGTAACAAAGTAACACACAATAGCATAGATTTAACATTATGCTAGGATGAAGATCGTTAATTGGTCAGAGGTAAATCAGAACATAATAAATGGTCTAATAATTACTTTAATTTATATAGCGCTTTTCAAGACACCCAACGTGCTTACAAATGGACGTCCACGAACCAATGTGTAGCCCCCGCCTGGTTGATGCTAAGGCAACAGCTAATCCGCGCACTACAGCTCACCACACATCAGCTCGGCCCATTTAGAGCAACTTGGGGGTTAAGAGTCTTGCTCAAGGACACTTCCGACATGCAGACAGTCAGAGCCAGGATTCAAACCACCAACCCTACGGTCGATGAACGACCAGCTCTACCAACTGAGCTTCAGTCGCCCCTAATGTAATCACTCGTTTAGCATTTTAAATATTTAAATAAATTTAAAAAACGTACATCAACTTCGAGCATCAGTTTCTCCGTAGGCTCCTTGAAGTACACCATAAGGAGGAGGAGGATGCAGGCAGCCTTCTCCGAAGCCTCTGGTTCATAGCTGGCCAGAACTTCCTTGATCTTCGGGTTGTCCAGTGTCTGGCAGAACTGCAGGATGGTCTGTCCTCTCTGACCCAGAGCCTCTTGGAGCTTTTGAAGGATGTTGACGTCCGTCAGGAGGCCAAAGTGGGAGAAAAGCCCTCTCTGAGAAAAGAGAAAAGGCCATTCCTCTTTGACCTCCAACATCGCTGGTGCAGGCATTCTGTTGAGGTACCTCCGCAGGATGACGTAGGTCCTCTCCATCAGAGGTTCTGCTCTCTCTGCCCCACCCATCCCTTCCTCTGTGTACAGACATACAAATACATGTTTGAGAGTACCCAAGTAACAACAATTAAATTCAATGTCCCATCTCTGGGAAATTTTGAGTGTCAAACCTTTAATTTCATGCTCTCTCATTACTCATTCTGAATATTAAGGTGGCCTTTTTGCTTAATGTGGGATGTTTATTCAGGTGTCAATTCACCAAAGATAAAGTATATTGCATGCCTGAGTAGATGTTCCGCAGATCCCTTTTCAAATCTTCCAACGTTGCCTCGGTCTCCCCCTCTGGTAAGTCTGTTGGGCACCACCTCACACACCTAGGGATAGGAATCATAGGTTAACTCAATACTATTAGGAGCGGTTGTAGCTCAGAAATTAGAGCCGGTCGTCTCATGACCAAAGGGTCGGCGGTTCGAATCCCGGTTCTGACTGTCTCCATGTCTAAGTGTCCTTAAAGGGGCAAAAATACCCTGGAGGAGCCCGCCAAGGTTGGAGTTTTTCACAGGCTAGAAAACCAGTCCAGATGACATCATTTGGACTGGTTTTGGAGTGGGAACATTTCAATTATCATGGACACGGTTACACTGACGGCGATTATACAAAATCTACACAGATAATTTAAACATTCAATCCAAATAACCTAAATTAGTCTAGCATGGCAGTGCCCCCTTTAACCCCTAATTGGCCCCAACGGGTCGTGTCAGCGCCTTGCATGGTTGCTGGTCGCCATTAGTGTGTGAGTGTGAATGGAGAGGACACTGGTGAATGAGAAGACCATTGTAAAGCACTGGGTGTCCTGAAAAGAGCTATGTAAATGCAAGGAATTATTACTATGAATACTGTAACCTTCAAAACCTTCAACGAACAATAATTGCAATATCTATATTTTGTCCACCCCTACACATACCCGTATTGGTCGACAGGACCTCTCATCAGTCTGGACTCTCCTGCCACTTCAGTGTGCTGTCTTCCCCCTCGGCCTCGGCGAAGTCGAGCCAGAGTGTTGTTCCTGGTTTTATACTCCACTCTTGTTTTAACTTGTTGGAGAAGAGAGGGGCATCCGTCTCCAACAACTTCACCTCGCCTGCTAATGTCAGCAAAGCTTTTTGGATGGCTCCTGATAATTGTTCGGACGATGCTGTGGCACATGGCTCTGGTTGGGTTGCGCTCGTGCTGCATCATCTGATCCACCAACACGTGTACAAAGGCCCTTCTCTCATCTGGCATTGGTCTTTCTTCTTTTGCCACTGCACGTTGAATGGCTGTTGGCATCTGGTTCCAGTTGACATGGAAGTCTACATGCCATGGCATGCCAGGCTGTGTAGACTGTGAGGAGCTTGAAGTGCTTGGGGGGCTGGACAACAGGTTATGTGGAGGCCGGAATGCTTGCGGAGAGGCCAGCGTGTTCGCGGAGCTTGAAGCAATTGGATGGGGAGGGAGCACCTCCAGATTAATCGTTACAAATCCTAGAAGGGACAAAAACAATTCATAAATGAAGGCTGGGCAAGATGTAGGGCTAGGGGCCCAATTGTCTACCACTTGTGCCAATGTTCCAAGGGCCTAGTTGTAAGTGTCATGTGAGTCAAAATATGAATTTACCTTCCTTAATACCATTCATCAGCTTCCGACACTGGATTGGTTTAAGGTATTTGACCAGATCCTTCTCCTCCATTAAGGCCAGATCTTCAATACTCTCCACTCCAAGCTCATGGAGTAGGGTAGTCAGCAAGTCATCAGGGAGGCCCGGTAAATATGACCAAACTGCTTCCTTTATAGCTTCCATTACCTATTCTCATTGGCATTAACTGTCAACATGTGCTCGCTATACAATCAACAATACAAAATTAAAGACAAAATCTATCTTCAAGGTTACAACTAAAAACTGAGCTTTAGTTTGCCATGACTAAATAGCCTGCTCCATTACTTACGTCTGTCCTCACGTCTCTCATGTCCTCCCTTTCCTCTCCGTCTCTCATATCCTCTCTTTCCTCCCTGTTTAAACTGCTTCTGGAAAAGAATGGTGGAGTGCAATAAGCATCTGATCATACACGTTGTATGCTGGAAGAGGATAGTAGTCCAGTAGATCTTCGTGCTTAATGCACACATAATCCTCTTGGGCCACTCCTAAGTCACAGTACACACCTATGTCACTTAACTTCACAGAAGTGTGTTTCTCTGAGACAAAGTGGACAGAGTTATGGGCAACAATGACTAGCATAATCTTCCCCATGTGAAGTCCTTCATCACTGTTCCCAAGCAAGATGAACATCCCCTTTCTGTAGTCTGTGCCTTTGACTGTAACATTGTTACAAGCCACTGCAGACTGAGACTCAAATTGACAACTGGCTACAGATGCCCTGATCTTGTCGTTGTAATCATCTACATAAAAATCAGTCCCCTTCTGTACCTGTATAAGTGGAGGGAACAAGTTTCCCGCACTCAGGTATGCCTGGAGAAGTTGGTGTCTGTCTGAGAGAGTTTTGCACAGATTTTTGAAATTGTGCAATTTTCTGGCACACTGTTTGAAAAAAGTATGTTTGCTTTCAAACCGCAGAGTCCACAGGCGAATAAGTGGGCCAAAGTGGATGATTAGATCTGGATAATGGCCAAGATAGTGATGCTTTGGCCTCAGGGGGTCATTGGGGAATAGCCTTTTCCTGTTGCATATATACTCCTCTGTGATGACTTTCAGATATGCTACCTGGCCTTCTGTAATGACTGGTGCACAGATAAGCTCAACTATCTCTCTCAGCTGCAAAATGAGCTGCCACACCTCATTGTCACAGGGATCTTTAATCCTGCCACCCACAAAGAGAGGGAGTAATCTAAGGAAACACCAATTTTGAACTGCATGCCCACTTAGTTTGTCACTGCCGGGAGAGAGGTCTGCTGGTTTGTCCCTACCATCGTTCCCTTCATATCTGAACTGGTTCTTGCACCGATTTAACTGCAGGTAAGTGAAATGATTCTCCTCAACTAAATGGCGAATACATAAAGGAAGGTCATAAGCCATGACTCCCTCAAATAAGTCATGGCCTAGACATGGTGGGAGGCCAGGCTGGCAAACATGGAAATGAGAAAGCTGGTTGAAAGGACAGTCAGACTTGATACCGCATACAGAGTATGTGGCACTAGTTTCCAGGTCTTGCAAATTACCTGTGTATGATTGGGCCGTTCTTGTTGTACCACACAACACTGGATTCTTCACGAAATCATCTCTATGCACCTCACAGTAGCGACAAAAATAATTAGACCGACTGAAGTTTTCTAAGAATCCCCCAATAGAATGGGATCCCAAGTTGTCTCCTGCAATGGCAACCAAAGAGCCCTTTAGTACAGTGCCATCAGATATGACTACACCTCTCTCCTCCAGGATTTTGAGGTCCTCAATTAGAGGTGCAAAAACCTTATTTACCCCAAAATACTTAAAGTCCTGCTCCCTACATAAGAGAACAAGTTGCATCTGATCTATAGAAGATCTATTGTGAGGCAAGATGTCAGTCAGGGTTAGGTAAACAGCTAAAACCTTGTGCTTTTTTTTCCCTGAGCCCAGTGGGTTCACAACCTCAAAGGCATCTTGGTACAGTATCAAACCAAGTGAGGAAGGGTCAGCTTTTAACATTGGATTACTTTGAAATCCTTCTCCATCCTTGACATCCTGATAGACAGCATCAGTAGATGGCTGCAAACGTGTCATGGTATACTGTTCTCGTAGAGACTCATTTTTGAACAGTGTCACCAATGTCTCATGTATAGGTACATACTGCGCAAAGCATTCTTTGTCATTTTCATCATTGCCCAAGAGCAAAGGCACAGGATGAACATAGTTGAAACACTCTTTAAAAGCAGCCTTCCTCTTTGCATCTGTACTGAGTCTTCCCCTGTTATAGAGTGTGAGTAGATCCTCTCTGTTCAGTTCATCGATGATGCTGCTTATAGTGGCCTGAGGGATTCCAAGTTTCCTCAATTTCTCACTCAGAATGTTAAGTGAATGAGACAGGCCAAGTTCATGAGCACTTTGAAAGCCATCAATAATGGTTTGTATGGTGCTTGCCGGTAAGAGTAGCTTAGATTGCAATTTCAAATAGAAAAGTGTAAGGTTCTGTAAAAAAAGGGTTTCGTCCACAGCTAATGGCATTTCTGGTTCATCATCATGTTCACCAGCAGCTTCTGAATACGACTGACTGGGTTCTGGCAATGACTCGGAAGTAATAGACTTGTCTAGTACCAAGTCATCTAAAACTGAATCCTCTGCATGCCTATGTTTCCTGGAAATATGTGAAGCAAAAGTCATCACGTTTGTGAACCTGCAATCACAACCTCTAAATGGGCATCTAGTTTCCATTCCTCCCCTTATGTGTGTCTTCAAATGCTTAATAAGAGAGGCTAAAGTGTCACACTTAAATGCACAATCCTCAAGCACACATTTCAAGGATGTGTCAGGTGGTAGAGCTGATGTGTCAGGCTGTATAGGCCGAGCAGCTTGCCGGTAGCACTTATGCAGCCTATATATATGCGATAACAGTGACGTGTGTTTTCTGTACCTCCGTGAGCAGTCAGGCACCCCACACTGATAGTGATAATTGGGGGCATTACTGTGCAGCTTTGTGTGCTGAACAAAGTTATGCCCCTTCTCAGACACATGCTGACATCCAATATATTTACAGTGGAACATTGTTGTGCGTGGTAACTAGTTACCGACCCAAACATAAATCAATCTGCCTGACACTGAACAGGACAGTTAGCCTGGCTGCCTGACACTGAACGGAATGGTTGGCCTCTCTGATGACCTAGAAAAAAGGAGACCAGATAAAGGACAAATTACAAAGGCAACCAACAAAAGGAATTTTTCAGTTTGCATGCATATTATGAACATGAGCATGTTGTAAACAAATCTGTAAATATTTGTTTCAAAAAAGAAAATAGTACTATATAGACCAAGATCGTTTCTCAATTCAAGGTGTAGCCATTCAGTCGGGTAGTCGAGCATCCCATTTAACTACCTTAGCTGCAATAACACTCGAACAGTCACTAGCAATTTCTCGAGGATGGCCGCACGCACGGATCACGAGGATGTCAAATCTGGAATAGAGGCAGTAAAAAACCACCACAGGGAAGCAAGAGAGGGAAGCTCACATAAATGTACAGTATTGGATGAAGTGATTAATCTCAGGTGTGCTCACACATTGGTTTCCTGTGAAACACTATTGAATGATGTGATTAATCAGCTGTGCTGCACACCTGAGATTAATCACTTCATCTAATATTTGACAGGAAACCAATGTGCGAGCTTCCTCCAGGAAGTACTGGAGCAGGGGACTGAAGTTATGCACATGTGTTGCATATTAGGCCTACCTCCAACTAGGAAGCAATCCGTGGATTTAGGGAAAGGTTGAATCCATCAGTGTGATTACTGGCCTGTGGAGGGCGGCGGCAATACGCCTCGTCGCGTCGGTCCGCCGTAAACGGAAAATAATCCGTATAACACCAGGCAGGCAATCAGTAGGCCTAGAGGAAGATACAATATCTGTTATTCGGCATGTAGTTTTACAACATACTAGGAATTTGTTGCTGGTGGGTACTGACATAAAGACAACATTGTGCAGGGACAAGACAAGTGCAAAACAGGACGGTGTACAAAATGCAGGTAAAATTAGAAGCTAATTTAGGCTAGAATAGTATAGAAGTAAAATAAGATAAAAGTTTTTTTTTCAGAGAAATAACATTACGCATTGCAATAACTTATAAACATTTCAAACCTATAAACATTGCGAACCTATAAACATTGCGAAGAGGCAAGAGAGAGAGTTTGGTAATAATTTATCATCCAGAGTAGCGTTGATGAAAGTCTTGGGTGATTGAAACTTTGCTTGCTAGGCGAGGCTTAAAACTCTAGGTAAGCCACAGGCTACAATGAGGCTAAAAACAGAGTTCAACTTTTTATGTCTGGGCATGCTGCTCTCAAAACATGGCGCTCATCATTCACTGTACTTGACGTTTAAGCGCGAACTTTGCGCTGTCTGATGGTGGGTGGAATGTGCAATAGGGTCTCTGACGAATTCATTAAGAACATTGTAAGAGCAACTAACGTTACTTGGCCAACTTTGACACTGATTTAGATTAGGCCTAATTTGATTAGACTATAGCCTATAAATTAGTTAGCCGTGGCTTCAGAATACAACGCTAGCAGCAATGCTAAGCTAACTAATTTATACCAGAGCCCTATAGTAGAACTCTGGCTTATACCAATGGCGATTATGCCAATCTATCCTGTTAAAGTATTCATTTTTTGCTCTTTCATTCAAATACAGTATAAGCCTTCTGCCAACATTTGGAAACGTTACTGACGTTAGTCTACATAGAATGGAACAGTCGGCAACAGTTGGCTGGCTAGCACTCAAGCTAACGTTACTAGCTAACGCTAGCTAGCTATCTATTCGCTACCATGTGCAAACCAACACGACACTACTCCACTCCACTGGCGTTTGCAATCGAAAGCACATAATATCCACCACTAATCCACATTATGGGCAGTACTTACTTGCTGTTTACCGATGGTAACGGCCTTGGAGAACCTCACAGATGTTCACAGCCTCTTGCATGCGTGCGAATATTCGAATCTCTGGTAGGAGGGTGAAGCTGCAGCGTCAGAGGCTGCAGTCTCAGGACCGCACCCTAGTTGTTTTGCAACATCGCCACCTAGCGAATTGGATGACCGCAAGACATTGTAATGCTTGTTATTAACCATCTAAAAATGCATGAAAATATGTTTTCCTTACAGAAATTATTAACAACAATTTGATAGAATCTATCTATATGGCGCTGGCTAAGATAAGATAACTTTCACAAGATGCCTGTGTGCTTAGTACCAGGTTGTTATAATACCAGCAATGGGTCTTGCTCGTTCTTTTGCTTCCCGTCTGATGAAAGAGGAGTGTGTGGATCAAGCTAGCTAGTAGCTAGCACGTTAGTTAGCATTACAGCCTTGTCATTTTTATTAGCCTTAACATGAAGTAACATTAAGTAACCCAAAATGTTAAACAGTAAGAGTAGTAGTCATATTTCGTGAATCCTTTGAAGAGTACTGTCACCGGTGTGATCATTCTATAATGCCCCTTTCACACCGGCGCTTTTCCAGCTCCTGCTGGGAGCTAGAGCCTGAAAAGCGCCGGTTTTTCCTGTTCACACCGCAGCGGCGGCGCGTCATAGCTCCGGAATGCGGTTCACTTCCAGCTCCAAAAAGTTGTCGGTCCAGAGGCAAGAGCTTTGGAGCTATGACGCGGCGTCGCTTACGTCGAGGCGTGCAGGAAACCTTACTTTGACCATCCGTTCGCTGTTATTGATCATTGTGGAGAGCAGGCAGACGTTTTGTTTGTTATTATAGCAGCTATCGGATGGAATTAATACATGGGCTGTACAGGTTGTCATGTCCGACTATCACAAGTAGAATCATAATGAAAGATACGCCGGTAAAATGTGCCTGGAGAAAACGGCTTAGCAAGTAGTCAGTTTAGCTTCGGTTGCTATGCTAACATCACCCATGTTATACCAGAGAAACTTTCATAACAGCGTTGTGATGCCAAACAGCGTCAATTCAGACTGACACACATTCACTTAAGGGGAACTGGGGTTATGTATCAGCTGCTTGTGTGACAGTCAGACAGTGAATACTTTAGAGCCGTGTGAGCTAACGGGAGAATAAACTCCCGTGGAAGTGCAGCCAGCACTGCAGCGGTCGGTAAATGCCGCTGAAACACATTAATAAACAATGAACCACGGCACTCTGGAGAAAAGTATAAGGTTGGAGAAGTCGTTATTTAATTTAATCTGGCTTCGTATGATTAAAAGCAACACGATCGTCGACCCGACGCAGTCCCCGGCCCGTTGTTGTTGTGGGAGAAAATCTCTCGGCAGCTCTGGGCGGTGTGAACAGAGCGGGAGCTGAAAAGGGAAACCGGAGCTGAACCAGAAAAGCTCTCGCTAGGAGCTAGAAAGGGAAAAGCGCTGGTGTGAAAGCCGCATTATACACACTTTAAGCCCGGGGGAGAAATGCTAACGCTAACGCTAGCGATCTTCTCTACTTCATGCTATCTGCACAAATGGTTGACATTAAACATTAAAACGACCAGGCAGTTCAGAGAGAATCAAAGGAAGGCAGGCAGGCAGCTTTGCATGACATTCTTCAGGACGTGTTTCATTGTGGTGATAGTGAGGGTAGTCAATCGTTTTGTTAACAAGACAGTAGTGACGGCCATCTTGGTGACGTGTGTTGTTGTGTGAGACCAGAGATGTAGTTCATTGTGCGTTTCACACAAACAAATGTGTTACTTCACAGTTTTACGACACAAAAAATAAAATGTGTCGTAAAACTGTGAAGTAACACATTTGTTTGTGTGAAACGCTCAATGAACTACATCTCTGGTCTCACAGAACAACACACGTCACCAAGATGGCCGTCACTACTGTCAACAAACCGATTGGCTACCCTCACACTATCACCACAATGAAACACGTCCTGAAGAATGTCACGCAAAGCTGCCTGCCTGCCTTCCTTTGATTCTCTCTGAACTGCCCGGTCGTTTTAATGTTTAATGTCAACCATTTGTGCAGATAGCATGAAGTAGAGAAGATCGCTAGCGTTAGCGTTAGCATTTCTCCCCCGGGCTTAAATTGTGTATTATAGAATGATCACACCGGTGACCCTACTATTCAAAGGGTTCACGAAATATGACTACTACTCTTACTGTTTAACATGTTGGGTTACTTCATGTTACTTCATGTTAAGGCTAATAAAAATGACACGGCTGTAATGCTAACTAACGTGCTAGCTACTAGCTAGCTTGATCCAGACACTCCTAGTCCTTTCATCAGACGGGAACATAGACTGTATATATAAAGTCGGGAAGACGGGAAGCGAAAGAACGAGCAAGACCCATTGCTGGTATAATAACAACCTGGTACTAAGCACACAGGCATCTTGTTAAAGTTATCTTATCTTAGCGGAGGAAAACAATTGTGACATCACTTACGCGACTCTGGGATTTGTAGTCTTTCTAGTTACGTATTTTTCATAGTCTTATATTTCAACAGTTTTACGACAAACTGTGACTTTTTTGACATGGAAATGATTTTTTAAGATTGACAAACATCATATGTGTAATTCATGGCACAATTCAAACGGGATCGAAAGATAAGTTTTCTCTCCCCATTGACTTCAATGCATAATTTTTCCGAAATAAGGTCCCATTACCCGGAAGTAAGTGAGCGTGACTTCGCCACTCTATTGTCTATTCTGCACATGTGCAATGCTGCACAATTCAAATGTTACAGTAATGGGTTGTGCTATTACAGATGATTTTGAGTACAGTGCTTTACTGTGAAATAATAGTTAAATAATGTCAAATCCAATTTTACTGTAGTTTTATAGATATTTTGTTGTGATATTACAGGGTCTTTTTATTACAATATTTCTCTGTAATATGATACTCTTAAATGCTGTGAAATCCTTGCAATGTTTACAATATTGTTGTGATATTACAGGGTCTTTTTATTACAATATTTCTCTGTAATATGATACTCTTAAATGCTGTGAAATCCTTGCAATGTTTACAATGTTGTTGTGATATTACAGAGGATTTTGATTGCAGTATTTTATTGTGAAATAATAGTTAAATGCTGTGAAATCCAAGGATACAGTCCTTTGTACATGTATTTGTTGGGATATTACAGGGGGCCTTGATTACAATATGTCACTGTAGTTTCCCCAATGATTATAGCTGTGACTTTTTTTCCTGTAAAATTAGGATCTTTTTTTACAGTGAATGTCTCAGTTCAACTCTTCCAGACGGTTTGAGAAGTAGGCTATGCTGCAGGACACACGCCGGTTAGAATAGTCTATTCTGCACATGTGCAATGCTGCACAATTCAAATTGTACAGTAATGGGTTGTGCTATTACAGATGATTTTGAGTACAGTGCTTTACTGTGAAATAATAGTTAAATAATGTCAAATCCAATTTTACTGTAGTTTTATAGATATTTTGTTGTGATATTACAGGGGCTTTTTATTACAATATTTCTCTGTAATATGATTATTAAATGCTGTGAAATCCTTGCAATGTTTACAATGTTGTTGTGATATTACAGGGGCTTTTTATTACAATATTTCTCTGTAATATGATACTCTTAAATGCTGTGAAATCCTTGCAATGTTTACAATGTTGTTGTGATATTACAACATTTGTTGTGATATTACAGAGGATTTTGATTGCAGTATTTTATTGTGAAATAATAGTTAAATGCTGTGAAATCCAAGGATACAGTCCTTTTTACATGTATTTGTTGGGATATTACAGGGGGCCTTAATTACAATATGTCACTGTAAAATAATACTGTTAAATGTTGTGAAATGCTGGTAAATTTTTACAGTGTGGTTGGCCTCACCTCTCCTCTGTCTTTTTACTTTTTGTGCTGGCAATGCATCCTAGAGCTTTGGACTTCAGTGAATTCAGGAGCAATTCAAAACACCCAATTCCTTTTAGCTGAGTTCGGTTGTTGCCCATTTTTGTCTTCAGCCACCACTTCCAACTGTAGCAACTGTTGTAAGAACCATATTCAGAGAGGCATGGATGCTTCTGGATTAGTGCTTCAGCAACCGTCTGTTGGGTAGGCTTTGTACTTGAATATCTCTTCAGCTAGCTTTTCAAGAATATCCAACTTTGTTTTTGTTATCAGTGACAACCTTTTCATGTCTGACCTATACATTACATTTCCCTTTTCCCTCTTAGGTGCCTTACAAACAATGGACGTCCGCTCTCGGGAGCGTCGGAGTGGTGCGGTCACCCTAAGTGACAGACCTAAAGTATCCGGGATTCAGGCATCTTCCCTGGCTTGTACATTTTTGGTGATGCGCCCTGGAGGTATCAGACTATTTTAAAAAACTTTTCCCCGCCTTTCAAACACTTATTCCGAGGTTTTAGCCAGTCATTTTGCACGAAATCATTTAACATTGACGGTCTCCTGAAAAAGCACATATTCTGTGCATTTTCAGAAGAGCGTCTATGTTAAATGATTTCGTGCAAAATGACTGTCTAAAACTCTCTTCCAGACATTTAAAAATACTTTCCCCGACCATTTAAACATTATTTCTGGCTTGTAAAGTGCAGTTATGCGCCCTGGAGATATTGCACTATTTACAAAATGTAGCACTCTGTTTATTTCACACCTCCAGGAGAGACCAGGGGGAAATCACCTCTCTCTGCCCGCTCACAGAGCCCCGAAGGACGGACTAGAGACCTCCAGCACCAGTCCCTAACAGTGGGACTCTGTTTATTTCACACCTCCAGGGCGGAGACCGGGAAAATCACCTCTCATTGCCCGCTCACAGAGCCCCGAAGGACGGACTAATTACCTCCAGCATGGGCCCCTAACAGTGGGACTCTGCACCTCCAGCAGAGACCAGGGGGAAATCACCTCTCTCTGCCCGCTCACAGAGCCCCAAGGACGGACTAATTACCTCCAGCATGGGCCCCTAACAGTGGGACTCTGCACCTCCAGCAGAGACCAGGGGGAAATCACCTCTCTCTGCCCCCTCACAGAGCCCCAAGGACGGACTAATT